CCTGGATCCCACTACCCACATCTCCTCCACTTGGCCCCGCCTCTTTTGGTCCCCACTGGCCAGTTCTGTGCACTGGATGGGTCTGGGCAGGGCCCTATTGCCACCCTCCTTGTGTCCTTGGGCTCCTGTTCTCAGGGCTCCGACCCTGCCACTTCCTCACTGTCTGAACATCTCAGAGTGGCATTCAAGAACATCCTCCTGTGCACCCCAGCCCTATGACACCGAGCACCCTGCTGGGCGAGGTGTTTTTCCTAACTGTTCTCTGGTTTCTGTTGGGTCTCTGCTGCAGTGCTGCCTGCCCACCTCCCCCTGGAAGGCCTTCTTCCCTCTCCAGAATGGCGAGGAGTCCCTTCTTGACTCCCACAGACCTGTCCTTTCCATCTCTATCAGGACCTTAGTATGCCGTCAACATCAGTGTGACCCTGCAAGACTGTGAACTCCTTGAGGATGGGTCATGGCCTAGTTAGTGGTGGCAAACCTATGGCATGCGTGTGCAGCAGGCTGTTTACATTATTAAAAGCTCTAAAAGGTTCGCCAGCACTGGCCTAGGTCATTCATCTATTAGTGTTTTTTTCTGATACCAGAGATCGAATTTAGGATTTTGTGCTTGTCAGGCAGGTGTTGTGTCACTGAGCTAAATCCCCCCAGCCCTCATCTATTAGTTTTCAAACAGTTTTTCATCTCTCTGGCACCCTCCTAAGGGCCTGGTAACAAATAGAATCATACAGTGCCTTCTAAATAGGTTGGCCATGGTGGCCCCCTCCTTTGCTCCTAACCTCCCCAGGCCCTCACCTGCTGTACCGTGGAGGTGAAGACCCTAGACGACCGTCTGCTTAACATTCCCATCAATGACATCGTCCAGTGAGTCCATCTGCCTTGGGCCCCAGTAGCCAAGAGAAGGGTCGCCCTGGGACTTAGAAGGTGGAGCCAGAGAGGGCTGCCTCTTACAGTTGGACAGGTTGCAGCCCAGCACAGGACCCCTGATGAGAGGGGGAGAAAAGGCTGAAATGGCCAAGCTCTGGGCTGCATTCACCTGGCAAAAAGAATGCTGTTTTCTAATTTGCATGAATCCACAGTAGAGGCCTCAGGCTCCAGTGTTGGGCAATCTCTGTTGTCTTCATCTCCCTAAACTTCTCTTTAAGAGTTCCTAGTTGTGCCCTCTGAGTCCTCCAGGAAAGGCCCTCTTTGTGGGAACGTGTATGCAGCAGCCCAACCCTGCCACCCCTGTTCCCTTTTCCAAAACTAAAACCAGATATCTGGGAGAAGCCTCAGCAGACTCTTGGTGAGAAGCTTTTCAGGGAGCACTCTGTTTGGAAGAAGCCATTTTCTTCCCAGCTGCTGAGACCTGCCTGTAGTGACAGCCCGTCCCTGCAGTTATCTGGTGGCAGGGGTCTGTCAGGTGCTGCTCTCCAAGCTCCCTTCCCTCATCCTCTCTCCTGTTAGTCCCAAGTACTTCAAGAAGGTGCCAGGTGAGGGGATGCCATTGCCTGAGGACCCCACCAAAAAGGGGGACCTCTTCATCTTCTTCGACATCCAGTTTCCTGCCCGCCTCACCCCCCAGAAGAAGCAGATGCTGCGCCAGGCTCTGCTGACCTGATGGGGCTCACTGGGGTCACCCACCCCCACTCCACAGCTTTGGGCGGGGCCAGGGAGCCACCTGGCCCTGCAGATATTACAGGAGGGGGACAGCATGGAACCTTACACCAATGTAATAAAGATTTTCTTTCTTATCCTCCAGCTACACCCTGGTATGTTGGGGAGAAGCTTCTTAGTAGTCTTTCCTGCAGGACCCAGGAAGCTGAACACCTGGGTCCCCCGTCCTGGCTTGGTGGTGAGAGGCAGCTCCACGAGGGTTCAGACCCTGTGCTCCCACCAGCCCAGAGCAGGACTGCGTGCATGGCTTCTGAGGTTGTGAGCTCTGCCCTAACTTTTCATGAAAGAATATTTAGAAGGGTCAGTTGCTGCTCCATAGTGCCCCAAATTCCACCACTCAAAATATGGTATTAGCACTGCGCATGGTGGTACACACCTGTAATCCCAGCACTCAGGAGGCTGAGGCAGGCTAGCAGGAAGTTCGAGGCCAGCCTGGGCTACATAGTGAGTTTAAGGCTATCCTTTTTGTCTCAAAAAACAAAACTAATATTAGCCTAAATATTTTCTTACATAAGAGCTCAGCAGCCCTTGGCAGCCACTGGTTTTTTGTTTTTTTCGGTACAGGGTATGGAATCCAGGGTCTAGGCACTGAGTTACATCCCCAGCCCATTCTCTAAACTTTTTAGGGTAGGGTCTCACTAAGTCGCTAAGTTATCAGTCTGGATTTGAACTTGAAGTCCTCGTGCCTCAGCTCCCAAGAATACTGGAATTACAGGTGTGTACCACCATACTCAGCATTTTTTTTTTAGAGACAGGGTCTTGCCCAGACTAGCACAGACCTCTTGAGGTCAAATGATCTTTTGCATTGGCCTCCCAAGCAGATGGGACTATGGCTAAACACCAGCAAGCCAGGTTTTGGTAGCCATTTTTAAGCCTTCACGAAGGCAGTAGCAGATCTTGAAGACTGGGGCTAGGGTTCCAGGAAGCATTTCAGCATGGTAGTCAGAAGTCAGAAAGCTATTGAATCTCCAATGTGCACATCACCTCTCTGGATTTCCTAAAGATCACAGCCCCAAACCTGCAGGCTTTTTTTTTTTTTTTTTTTTTTTTTTTGGTACCGGGGATCAAACTCAGGCCCTTGTGTTTGCCAGGCAGGTAGCAGAACCACTGAGCCAAATCCCCAGCCCTTCTTCATAACTTCTGTGGAAACTAGATGCAGTGAATTAAAGTCTGCCATCTGAGGTAAGACCCAGGTGGAAGGGATGATGGTGCTGCAGTTCTGAGAGCAAGCCTTGTGTGGGTGAGGGAGGGCACCCAGGCCTCCTCTCAGGCAATGCTCCTGACCATCCTGGTGGGGTGTGAAGGAGGCATAGTCTTAGGCCTAATGAAAGACCCTTAGGAGATTTCTACCTCCTCACTGACCTGAGGAAAAGCAGAGCTCACTGTGGCCAGCATTACCAAGGCCTGCGCTGTTTTCCAATGATCCCTGTACCCTTGTCCAGTTCATTAGTCCAAGGTCATGCCCAGAACCATGAAGTATGGTGGTCATGTGTCCATCCGTTTCTGGGCACAAGGCTGCTAAAGGAACCAGGTGAGATGAACAACCCCCACTCCCACCCCCTCGACAGACATGCCTTTCCTCCAGTACAAAAGAGTTAACAGCCAGAGCCACAGGATCATGTGAAGTGATACAAGGCAGTGGGCAGACTCTTCATGTATGAAGACTCCCTGCAGCCAGCAGAGCACACCTAGGCTGGACTTCCTGCCCCCTAGTGGCCTGCTGCTTTATGGCACTCAATCCTGTCCCTGGGGGCACTGTGAGGCCTCAGTTCAATGTCAGAAGCTGGGTGTAGCTTCACAGCTGCCAAACAGCTGGGGACCTTCAATGATGGTCCCTGGAGGAAGAGTGTGGCAAGGGAAAGCATCTCCATTCAGATACTTTGTGTGTCTTTACCTGAATGACCTGCTTCAGTCCTTGGACATCTATAAAGTAGGCCTTGGTGAACTTAATTCCAAGGGCCCACACCTGTTCTGGGAATTAAAGACTCCCTGAAACTAAGCAGGCATTGCCCACCAGCTTCCCTGCCTCAGGGCAAAGACTGAAACCCCTCTGCAGTCAGCGCCCTGGCTTGTCACTGCCTCCTTGGGATCCCTTGCTCCAGAGGGTGGGACACCAAATCCAAAGTATCCTCAGGCAGAAACTGAAGCCGGATGTTTGCCTGCAGTGAGAACCCAGCCAGTGCTGAGTCAGCGCCTGCCCCACCCACTTCAGAACACTTCCTCCCAGGGGCATTGACTATGGGGGAGGCAGGAAGCAGCCTCAGTATTTCAGGACTTTGGGGAGGTGGGTTTGCCAATTGTAAAATGGAATAACAGCATCTGAGGTTCCCAAATTCCATCTCCACAGGAGCTGCTTCACTGCAGATCAGGACAGCTGAGGGGCTGGGAGGCAGGCTCTAGGTAGAGCAAAAGCCCAAGTGGCCAAGCAGAGGAGGAGGAGTCCCTGCTATCCCTCGGGGCTGCCCTTTCATTCACCATCTCAGCAGAGGGCCTGGGCCTAGAGGGAAAATGGACTACAGGTCCTCATGGGCCCTCCACTGGATGCTGGAGGTAGAAGGTGGGTCACATCCCTTTCTGATGTCAGGTGGCTCCTCCCCTGCCCACTAGATGCCCAAAGGGCCCACTGGACCAGGAGTTCTGGTATCAGCTATGAGAGAGGGAGGAGACACCATGATTGAGCTTGCTTTATGGGTGACAGGCTGGCTGGGCTGGGCTGGGGGTCAGGATGATTTGGTCTGAACTTTTCAAGGGACAGAGGGTTTGAGGTTCTGACTGGGTCAGACAGGGTCTGCTCTACCAGCACTGAGCCAATAGGGAGAAGGGGGGGGATAGAAATGTAGGGAGAACAGGGAGGTAGTAGGAAGAAGGAAGGGGAAAGAGGGAAAGGGAAACACTGGCTGGAGGTGAAGCTAAGGCCAGAGGTGCTCAGGTAGGCGGCAGGAGGGGCTCATAAGGGAGCCTCTCAGGATGTGCAGGCAGCCATGAGGCCCCGTTTCAACTGCTCATAGGTGACAAACATCACCACGTTCCAGGACCCCAAGCGGAGAAAAGAGGGCATAAACCTAGGGGAGAGAAAACAAGTTACAAGGGTAGTTCCAGCTCCTGCTTCTCCTGCTGGGCCCTGGCAGCCAATCCAACCCAGCAGATTGTGTCCCACAGGAGGACGGGAGGACCTGGAAAACTGTGCCTCACAGCTGTGTACCTATGAGCAAGAGTCCCTCTTCCCACGCCCACTCTCCTTTTTTGCAGTGCTGGGGATGGAACTCAGGGGCCCACGCATACTAGGCACTTGCTCTGCCACTGAGCCACAACCCCCAGCCTTAAGCCCCATTTTAACATCTGTAAAATGGAGGACAACTCTGGGAGGTTTGACAGCTGGTTGCTTTTCACTGCCTAGCAGTTTCTCTCCTACCGGTATGATAGGTATGGGTAGCCAGGAGGCCTGGAGTTGGATGAGGGGGATCAGAGGCTCACCCTTTGTAGAAGGCTTGGGGCCCCTCCTTCCGGAGCATGGTAAGGGCACAGTGGCCTGCGCTGCTGTACTGGCCCAAGGCAGAGTTCATGTATCTCGTCTTGACCACATCGACAGGGGAGGCAACGATGGTGGTACAGAAGCCCGCCCCAAAGGCGGAAGTGAAGTGACAAGGGAGGTCATCTGGCAAGGAGCAGGAGGCAAGGCAGTCAGCACTCCTCAGGCACCATTCCAGAAGGAAAGAGAATTAAGTAGCTAGAAGTACTGGGTTTTAAAGAGACCTCTTAAGAGGACCTGGGAGTCATTTTGCCCATCTGGCCTCAATTCCTCAATTTGCAAAGTAGGAGCTTTGTCCCAGTTGGCAAGGAAGAAATGTGCTCAGTCCACAAGCAAAGGGTAGAGGATGAAAAGGTCGGGTCTTCAAGCAGCCAGATCCCATATCTGTTTCTGCACCATCTACTCTAACCCACCTGTCATGAGGTTGGCCTTCAGGAGAGCGTCCTTGATGAGGTCATAGGTCACCAGCTCAGCACAGTTGACAATGGCATTGCGAGCAACATTGGGAGAGGTCCCTACAAGAGGGAGAGGTGAGTGAGACCAGGTCACAGGGAGAAGGGAGACAGGGAAAGGGAACTATCTGGTCCCTACCTTTCCAGAGTCCCCGAAACCCTTCCTCTCGGGCGATGGTCTTGTAGGCATCCACTGTGCTCTGGTATCTCCGACCACCTCCAGCTCGGGCCTGAGCTTGGAATCGGACCTTAACTACATCTGTGGGCTGGGCCACAGCGACAGCCAGGGCACCTGTGGTGCTGCCTGCCAGAAGGCGACTCCCAACGCTGGCATCTGCAGGAAAACCATGGTGTCGGTGGCCAGCTGGGCTTGCACTCACTTTCCTCATCTGTCCTCACCAAGACCACCATGTCACTGTGCTCTAACAGTGCCCAGACCCAGCTCTTGCTCTAGGAACTTTCTTTGCATCAAAGTGCAGTATCACTATGAATGTCTACTACTTGCTAGGATTTGGCAAGGAGTTGCAAAAATTAGACTTTGTGTTTCTCTGTGTGTGTGTGTGTGTGTGTGTGTGTGTGTGTGTG